TTTATTCTATTTAATAGTTTCTCAACAATTAAATCAATTCTTCGAGAGAAATGAAGTTATCTCACGAATAAATCACGATTGAATGGAATTTATTTAATTAATAATTATCCGCGACTAATTAGCTTGTTGAGCAAAGATTCAGCCAAGGAGAGAAAAGGAGAGAGAAAGAGAGAAAATTTATCCGATATAGAAGCCCTTTTCTGACGATCGTTAATTATCCCCGGGGAATTATGGTAAGAAACGATGACGGGTGAAAGTGAGGGAATCGTTATTCCTGGAATGGATTTGATGATCGTCAACAATACAACACATACCATCCAGTTTCAACCACTTTCATGTCGAATCATTTCAATTCCCGGTGAGAGAGGAAGCGTTTTCACTTTTCTTATGCGATACGATAACCGTGAGTGTTGGAACTCGTTGGAAAGAAAAGCGAAATATATAATTTTTATATCTATTTTACCTTTACTACTTTCTTTCTTTCTTTCTTTCTTTTTTTAATCCATTTGAAGATTCGAATAATTGAACGAAACTTAATGTGGCTGTTAATCATTGACTCTTTAATTCTCATAAAGTATAATAAATACATTTGTTATTTAAATTCTTTATTTATTCTTGTCATTGATGGATTCAAAAATTATATGCATATTTAGGAAAGATATATACCATATATATCTTTATTATAAAATAATTATAAAAAATTTGATTTATTATAAAAAGAATTCACATTTCGATGCTTTAATGAATATAAAACGAAAAAAGAATTTGAATTTTAAAATTACCAATTTGTCGATTCGTTTTTGAATTTTGCATTATTTTTTCAAGTCACGACCAAATTAATTTCGTAACCGAGATTTCTTAAATGTTGCATGAAACATCCGGTGTTTAGAAGCCGTGCCGAGTTTAGCAATAAGGTTTGCGTTAACAATGTACGATAGCGAGGATAAACCTACTTTCTACCACGAATTTCACATCTTTCGGCCGATAAGATTTCTATCTTCTTATTGTACGAAGAATCAGAATGTTAGAAAAGTTTCTACAAAAAAAGAAGAAGAAAAAGAAAGATTTATCGGTATCGTAAACATTGATTTAAAATTAATATAAAATTAATATTTTAATTGATTGATTGAACAACAACTATATTAAACGAACACATTCAAATATAACACGATAATATATACATATTAAATGAACTAGATTAAAATTAATGTTATAACATTAATATATACATCAATAAATAATAATTTTTTCATTACATTAATATTAAATTAATATTGTTTCGAATAATATATGGATTTTATTCGATGAAATATTCGCTATATATTGAATAATTTAAAAAGTCTTCAAAAAGAAGGGAGTATATGGAATCTATTAACTTTTTTTTGCATTCGATATATTCCCTTTTTCCAATAACGATAGCATAGAAATATGATACCATGGCAAAATTTTAAATCTACCTACCGTAGTGAGTTTACAAATCAAATTTAGAAAATATTTTCATATAAAAATTATAAAATGAATTCACTGAGTGAGTGAATTTCATTGTACAAAAAAATTAATAGTTTCATGTGATACGAAGTGCATTATAATATCTATAAAGATTTGAAAAACAATCTTTCGCTATTCTAAAGGTATAATTCTGTACGAAAGTATTGATCATCTGGCAAAAGAAAATGTTTTATTATTTTGTGAATGAATTTGAATTTGATCCAAGTTTTATGTGCACGAAGATATTTTAATCTATTCTGTTTATTTCCTTCTCGAATATGTTACACAATTTATCGATCCAATTCACTAATGGTTTAAGATTTTTATAAACTGAATGTTTAAATCTTCACACGCATGCTTATAAAAAATTATCTGATAATAATTATAATTATAATTTAAAAAGAAAATTAAAATACATGATGAAACAATTAAAAATATTAAATATCATATAAATCAAAATAAAGAATTAGATTAATAATGTACGATTGTTTGATAGAATATTAGATTTAACAATTATTTTTTTATAGAAAATAGAACATACGATATATCATTTTTTTGTATTTTCTGAAAAATTAATATAATAATGATTTTATTTTTACTTAATAGATGAAAACAGAGATAATGTTCCATATTTCACTAAAATTCTCGTTCAATTATATTCAAATGTAAATATAGTTAAAATTCAATTAAATAGTGATAAGTTTCTAAAAGTTCTTCCTTCTCGCTAGTGGCAACAAACATTCGCACCGATGTTATGCCATCACGGATCTCTACAGTTTACCTCAACCAGATTTACATAATGCGAAGCTTGTTTGCTAAACACCAAGAGCACGAAATCCTTAAGCACTGTTGGTAGCACGTTCGTCAAAGGAACAATCTGTTATCGATACCTGCGTAACTTAATAATTCATAATAATTTAATAAACTAATAAAAAAGTTTTCCTAATAATTGAATATTCATGTTAAATAATAATATAACGATATTTGCAATATGCAATTGAAAATCTTTTTAGAAAAAAGGAATAAAAGAATAATAAAATAAGAATAAATTAATATATATATCTTCTACGATCTCTAATTACTGAAATCATATAAATCAATAATTCAATCGTATAATTCAATAAAATCATTACTCTCTTAAGAAACGTGGTGATTTATTATTATTAATTTCTAAAGGAGGGTAAAGCTCCTTAGACATTAAGTACATGGTAAAGCACTTTACTTGGTTAAGAAACGCATCGTACTAAAACGTTTGCGATCAATTTACTTTCAATGCTATTCTTAGCATCTCGCGCACCACTAATCAGAAGAGTAATAATAACGTAGTTGGATGGTCGTCGATCGACGCCACTTTCTATCTTTCAAAAACAACATCGCTTTCTCCTTTCTCTTCCAAAAAGTACAATTTTTGTTTTGTTTGGTTAAAATTTTCAATGAAAAGATAGTAAAAATGCATTATTTGTGAAAACAAAATTAATCTAAAAAATATTGTTTATAAATTTCAAATATATATATATATTCCAAGTCGGTATAGAATATCGAATATACGTTACATGAAATATCGAATACACAGTATTTCATTTTATACATACCGACGCACGCATAAACTTTGGTGTCATTGATCGAATGCGAAGCGAGACACGAGAAGACAGTTCCGATTGACAAACAGGCCTCCTGCTGTAGATTCGATTCTCGATAGTACGATCGATCCAAACCGCGTATCCCCATAAACGTAGACGTGTCCGTCCATATTTAATGGTTCGAATTTACGAAAAGCCGGTTGCGCCAGAAACACGATGGAAATAGAGGCATTGTTTCGATCGTGAATGCGCATGCGCGGTCCTCTCGTGCACGCCTCCCGAAAATACCGACAGAAATTTACGGGTAACATGGGTAAAGAAAGAGAAAGAAATAAAAACAAAAATAAATAAAAAAAAGAAGAAGGGAAAAATACGGAAAACAGCAAACGAAAAAAGAAAAGAAAGAGAGAAAAGGGACGAACGTCTATTTAGAAACGAACCTATGGAGTTTGAAACGAAACACGATCCAGAATCGCTGTGTATAGTAAACATTTATCGTGGACCATTTAACGAAGTTCGCGAAATGGACGAAAGGTTTTTTTTTTATTCCGCTTTTTTTTCCTGTTATTTTTTTTTTCTTTTTCACGTCGGAAGAGGAGAAGAGAATAGGATCAATGATAGATTGTAACGACAATTTTTCTTTTATGCTAGTATAACCTATGAAAACGCCAACGCGAATTCATAGTTGCTTATAACGTCCCCAGAGTCGATGATTCGCTTTTGCTACAGGGGTCACCGACCGGTGGACGATCGATAAGGAAATTTAGCGAACATCTCTGTTACCGTGGTCAGAGCGTAGGTCTCGTCTTTTTGCACTTACATGTATGATAACATAAGTGAATTATATAGGATATTTTAGATTTTCCGGGGTTGTCTTTAATCTTCGATGAGCTCTATGTACTGAAAGTACTGAATCAGAATTATTATGAAGATATATATGCGTTACTGTTCAAAAAGGGTAACATTTTTTAAATTTTAATAAAACTGTATTTTATTCAATTATTAATTCAACATTAAATTTATATTATTATATTACTGTAAAATTTTATAAAAATATTTGTAAAGTTTATAATAAATATTTGTAAGAATTCTGACCAGATATTTAAAATGAATATACTAATCATAAATAATAAATATTTTTAATCATATTGATAATTCTACTTATATATATAAATACTTATATACTTATAAATATAAAAAATTTAAATTCAAATATAAGGCATCATGAATCCATTTTATATTATCTTATTTCTTTTGCAAATTTAATATAAATTATAAAAAATAAAATATAATAATGGATAAATATTTAATTTATCCTATGTCAAATTATTTCCACAAAGCATTCACGATATTGTATCTTCATAATTTTCATATTCTTTTTATATATATTTGAATACACGACAAAAATAAAAATAAAAAATTCAAATCGATCTTATTATTATGAGAAATCTTAGAATATCTATCATTACAAAGAATTTTTCTATTTTTTCGTTAAAGGTGTACATATTAAAAGTAATTCCACGTATCATATACGCATCTAGAACTTTAATAAGATCATTCAAAACCATACTGTATGCGAGCACACGTAATCAGATCTACATGACACGTCGATGCAACATACCGGAAGAGAAGCAACGGCGTCCCTAACGGAAAAACGATTATCTTCACGGTTGGATTAACGCCGACCCTATTTGTAAGGGCGATCCTCGTTGGTGTCATCGAAGCTGCAAGCGAAGGAAATTTCACGGATTCGCAATTTCTCGGTCACATTTTTACCGAATAGAATCGCCAATGTGCCGGAACACATTCGGTCATTTTTATCGATTGTAAGTAATTTTGTCGGCAAGAAATTGATAAAAAGATAACCTTGAAATTACGTCAAAATTTTATTATTTTGAAACTTAATTTTTTAACTATTTAATGCATTTAAAATATTTGATGTCGTTTTCGTCGTTTTGTCGCAATTTATTTATTTATTTATGTTTTGTAAATATTCGAGACAAATATTTAATGTGAATTTTCTCAAAATATAAACTTTCTATGACAAATTTCATCTTATATTTTCAACTTGTTTATTTAAAAAATAAATAAATAAATAAAATTATTTTCGTGTACCTCTATGCGTATACCTCTATGCTATTTTCTTTTAAGATAAAAATATTTACATATTTACATATTTATCGTTAATATAATTTTAATTAAATTTCATATTACTTTGCTAAAAATATTCGGTCACTTTTGTTATTTAAATTAGCTTTTGATCTAAGAGAGGAAGAGAGAGAGAGAGAAACAGCATTTTTAACTAAGTTTTACTTCAATCCTGACTTTAGATTTAATTTATACAACCAAAATGTACACTTTATGTGGGATATGCAAAAGTTATGTACAATATTTTAACATTCTTCATCTGTCGGTGTTCAAGTAGCGAATATAACTGTGCAACTAAGTTTACATATGTAACAAATAAAAGAGAAAATTGCAAAACAGGAAGATTAAATACATACCCAGTCTTTAATTTAAAATCGTAACTTGTAAAAGCTTAAAAAAATTCTTTCACGTTTTATTTCAGTTATCACAGTATGTGAATTCTAACCAATTCTACATTAATTTTAAAATATACATATATCTATATTTATAAATATTATAATTTTCTACAAAATTCAATATCAAATCTCCTCCTTTCAATTCAAACAACAAAAATTAACTACTAATAATATTATTTCAGCAACTTCATCAATATTTTTATTTAAATGAAAAACAAAGAAATCGAAAAATATATTAAAAATATATTATCAATTTAAAATTAATAAAACATTAGTTATTAAACATTAATCTTCATTTTTATCAATTAATACACCCATTATTATGGTGCTCACTGATAAATCATAGAGAACATTTGGATCAGTTAATATTTTTCCTGTCAAGGAATATTTACTATTATGAAACACTTCATACTATTATTAAACTTTCATATATCATTAATAAATATCATTAATATCATATATCATTAACACCTATATGTACGTGTATAACGTACTTATATATCTTGGATCATCGATTATCAACTACGAACTTTCCATCCTCGTATCTCCATTATTAAACAGCGCTTTATCATTGAACAGTTGATGATATTAACTGTGTGTATCATTAACAGGTGTAACGTATTGTGTGTAACATGTCATCATTGATCCGCGATAATCTTTTCGTTTGAACTAAACTTGAACATGTATAATATTATAAATCAATATATTTATAATTATGCATGTGATTAACTCGTTTTCCATTGAAGATTATCAATGATCCATCATCTACTTGATACGATGTAAAAGAAAATTTTTTTGATTCATATTATTAAATGATCTTTTATTATATTGATGTAATATCATAAAAAATGATAGATAAGTCAATTTTCAAAATTATAAGCGAATTTAAAATAATTGGAGAAAATGCGATGATTAATAAGTTTATTAAAATGATACCGTAATATATAAATTCTAATATTATTAATTATTGATATAGAATTATAATAATTCTGAAGAATTGATATTTTTCAAAGCATTCAGGCAAATAACAATAGCATATTTGCAGACCGTTTCGCTTTTAATTTTATGCTTACAGCATATGTGTCATCTTTTGGTATTAGACTCAATTGACGACATCTAAGTTTAAATTTTCTGCATGTTCAATTCGATTAGATTCGTCATTTTATGACATAAAATATGCATGACTAATTTAATTCAAATGTAACCAAAAAGTTAATATCTCGTCAGATAATTTCAAAAAGTTGTAGACGTTTAAAAAAAAATTTTGTTGCGTAAACAGGTTCTCAGCGGATTTGGAAGGATATAATATGTAAATTATTTGGTTCCTTGGTCAAGAGAAGAAATTGAAGGTCTAAGAAAATTTTAGTATACTAAAAGAAGTCAAAAGATAGAAGAGAAAGAGAGAATTTGGCTCGACGACACTACGTTATCGCGCAGAAACTTAAAAAGTTAATCATTCTCGAATTACTTTCGGTGCTTGGCTAAGTTCGTTAAACTTTTTTCCTACCATCGTTACTGCTTCTTTTCTGCTCGAATTGGATCGTATCTCGATTCCATTTTTATCGTTCGAATTAAACGGCGCTCAAGCTCTATCAGAAAATTAGTGTAACCAAGTATAACGTTCGATATAACATCGCTAATTTTCAAATCACACTATTTTTTATTTTCTATAAACAAACGTCGTGTACCAAACATCACTTCCACCTAAGATTTTCATCTCGCAATTTATTTCAAGCTATATTCTTCCATCAATCATATAAAATTTATTCCCCAACATCAATTTCGTATTTCCATTTCCTATCAATCAACCAAATTCCCTCCAGATATTCTCGATCGAAAACGACGATCATCGACTCCTCAAAACGTTCGAATATCATAGCCAGATTCATAACTAGACGAAATTCCCTAGCGTCTAAATCTTAACTCTTCGTGACCAATACCCTTCTCTTTTTCTTTCAAACGATCTCACGGTAATCTTGTGTAAGTCGGAACGCGCGAGTCTACCACACACTCCGGATACCACGAGAGAAAGGTGGAGGAGAAAGGGGGAGAAGGAGAGGAAGGGGGAGAGGAGACGCGTTTGTGCCTGCGGGAACAGTCGGATTCGCGACTTCCGTTCGAGCCAGAACCAGTCGGGAGGGCTCTCGAATTGATTTCCTCTTTTCGCCGTGGGTGTTTCACGTCTGATTCGACTCGGCCATAAATTCCAGGCTAACTTAACCGTTCGCTCGGAAAGCTTTCTTCGTTAATGCCTTGGGCCTGCCTTCTACCTCCCTCCCTGCCACTTTATCCACCTCTTTTTCTCTCTTACCCAATCGTCATCTCTCTCTTTTCTTCTGGAAGTGGCAGCTATATCTCGATCGTAGGTATAACTGCCACTTCCTCTACCTTTTTTCTAGGACCTTCGAATGCCCGTTGAGAGGGGGAAGAAAAGAAAAAAAATTTGAGGTTCTGTTTCCAACGGACTTATTATACCGTTTCAATATTCAATGAAGAATACGAAACGAGAAAAGGTTTGGTGAATGATAGTTATGCGCATAATTTAAAGAATACAATAATAAAGGAACAATTAGACAATTAGAATAAGCTCTTGGAAATTACGATGTTCAGAATTACGTATAGCATAAGATTCTTAGCATTGATATTTCAAGGATACGTTTCTATCTACATTTTAAGATAAGGAACTCATTTGTTATCGTGTTGCATACAACCTTGATAAGTTCTTTTTTTGTAAACGTTTATTAAGCTATTTACTGTTCGAATTTCATGATAGCTAAAAAATGTTGAAGTATTATTAACCCATCGATCCTTATTTCTGTTGGTTAAATTTAAGACTGAAACTGAATATTGTGATGATTCTTGGATCATGATTTGGATGCTATACGTACATAAATATCATTTAATATTATGTAAAATATGAAAAGATTTATAATATTTTTCATTTTTTAATATTGTTAATTCATGTAATTTATTTTTTACATATTTCTACGTTCAAATAATAATTAGTAGTAATTAAAATGATAAAAGTTATTCGTTCATTTATTCCAAATGGAAATCTACTGTTCAAAAATAATTTAAATAATTATTCTACACTTAATTGTTTATTTTAACTTAAAAAGTCAATAAAATTTAATAATATTTATACAAAAATAAAATTATTTTTCTATCGTTATTTTGACGAGGATTCACGGGAAAAAGATAGACATTTCGAAATATCTTTAACCTTGGAATCGATCCAATTACATTCACGTTAAATAGAGAACGAGAAATGGACTGATAAGATGCCAAATATCGCGCGATTCTATCAACGAATCGAAAAATCACGAGGGAATATGAATACAAAGTTGAAGAGAGCGTGAAATTTTTCTTTTGCTTGACGAATTTATACATCATCGAAGCAAAAAAATATGTCGACAAGAATGAATTTAAAACAAAACTTTATTTTTCTATGAAATCTTATTCATTTATAGTTTTTTTCTTTTTTTTTTATTTTATTT